TTGACTATTGTTGCTTGTTAAACAAACTTGATGTAATTGTCAGACATACCTTTCCTCAATACAGTTCTCTTAGATGGATAGGATACTGAATCACTTTATTCTTTAGCCGCGTCCAGTTTAATGCCAACAACTGAAAATTATAGCTAGAAACTATTCTACAAGCTGATAAGTCTACATATCTAATAATTTATTGAATATGAGGTACTATGAGGTAATACATGCGTGAGTGTTCAAGGGTTGGTTTCAAGATGTTATAGAATCAACAATGTAGCCAGTGCTGAGTGTTTTTGAGTGTACCTGTTCTCATTACAAGATTCACATAATTTGCATAACAATTTYATCACGCGCTGCCATTTTCAACCAAATCGACTTTAGTACACGTTATGCTAACAAATAAGAGATCTTTCCTTGTATAACTTCGGATTTATACATACTGTATTCACATGTGGATAAATAATTGAAAATAAGCACGCTAATAAACACAACAACCCTAGAAAAAATCAGAGAACTTCGGATTTATAAATTCGGAATTTTCTACGAATAGTAACTTTTATTTATAGGTTATGCAAGTTAATGCGAGGCCTTTCCTTGCATAACTTTACAACTGAGTTCGGAGTTTTCTACGAATTGTAAGCGAAGGCCAGGACGTCTTTTCGTGTAAAGCAAATTTACCGCAATCTTGTTGAATAACGTGTAGGAAAATGTGTGTGRTATTCGTCTTTCGTTGCAATGTTTAGGCGGTTTTTCCCATTAGTGTATCGGAGGCGTGGGWCACGAAAACCGCTTCGGCCCTCGTTTTTAACTCGTGGATACGCGAAGCGTAGAAACGAACTATTGTGAGACTTCTGAATTTGCAACTCGATAATTAAATGTCGTCTTCTTCTTCTTCTCTATTTCTCTTAAGATTCATTTTCAACTTTATACTTTTGTCATTAATAACTACTTTTAACAATATATCTATTGCTCATTCTCAGCTGTGTCGTGGTGTTATGAGAGAGAAAATTAATGTTTTTACAGACTAAGCTAGACATCAGTTTTCTAATTACTATTTCTTATCGTATGAAAACAAGATAAAGAACGATCAATTAGCTATGTAAAAGTATGGATATAATATTTCAGTAAGACTACCATCACGCACAAGTTTAGATAATGGTGTGGTTATGCTGAACTTGTACCTAGTCATATCCCTCGCAAATTATTTTCGTTGATCGTTTCCAGAACTTTTTTTCAAAAAATAATTGTATTTATTAGAAAGCCGACACAATTAGTTTTGAATAGTCATTTTATTTCAGCTAAGGTCCATTTACAATCTTACACCTTTTTCCTTAATCACTTTTAGCAAGATTTTTAATGTTGAATCCTCGATCAGCCACCCCTAGGTCCGTGAGCTGGACAATCCATTATGCAATCAGTGCAATCTTCATCCGCCTGAAAGATTGCCTCTTCATGCTTTTTACGGCAGACTCTCACGCATGTATTTTTCTGCTGTGTCCCTGGTGGCCCATATGACCGCGACTGAGCAGAAGGCAAAATAGAGACGACCACCAAGCAAACAGTCAAACAAACAATTAATGTGCGAGTCTTTATGACCTAAAAGAACAACGTAAAATTTACCGGTTGTAATGAAATATCACGTTACAAGAACAAAGTTTTGAATCAACGGTTTGCACTGAAGGTCTTGGAAATGCAGAGAGATTTGGCTGTAGTACTGACTCGTATCTTGGGGCTAAGGCTCATTTTGGATTTTGTTTCACGATTGATTCAAGTGAATTTCACTACCTTTTACGGTTTTCCTTCGCTCCGTAAAACAAACACACAAAATTCAAATACTCCATCTTGTAGACAGTTAGCCGTGCCCTGACTTAGATCATCCCAGAGGTTGTTTCAGGGTTCAATCTGTGAGTTAGCGAACCGTGCCCTGACTTAGATCAGCCCAGAGGTTGTTTCAGGGATCGATAAGGTCCATCATTTTGTCTCAGTTAAACAAATGTGATGCTAACTAATTGTAAAACATACCTTTCCTCAATACGGTTTCTCTGATATAGACGAGTCTTGTCTTGCGGCTTCTAGTTCACCAACGAATTAGAATGAATAGTAACAGAATTCCACGAGCTTATATGTCTACACATGTAATGATTTATTTAGTATCTTCTATGAGGTAATGGGTGCATTGTGAAAGGAGAAGCTCACGAGGGCGTGCGCGCACCTCTCGTCCCCCTCTCCACGCCCCTGTACCAGTTCTGATTACGAGATTGACATATTTTGCATTTCCATGTTTTTAATATTAAAAACAAAATTGCTTTAGGAGCGCCACACTGAGTCTTAGCGCTCTTACGGAATTCAAAGAAAGAAAKAAAATCTAATAGTAGAGTGACCACAGTAAATCCGTGAAACTTTGGTAATACTAAATAGCACAATTTCATGCAAATTCCATTGTTTTCTATTGTTTAACTAACACTATTTTGTACTATTTAGTAATTAGTGTTTCACGGATTTACTGTGGTCACTCTGTTTAGAAAAAAAAAGAATGTTCTAAGTAATGATCTAAAAGGTCTTAGATTTTTGCAAGTGTKAATGTTTATTGGAAAAGAATTCCAAAGTCTTGGATCACCAAACGATGAATGCTCTGTCTCCATATAGCTCTTAGAGTTTGATCATTGTACCGTGAGGAGACTTTGGTTAGATAACCTGAGGTTACGTTTAGGCTTGTATCTTGTCAACAGTTCTTTCATACATTCTG